ATTTGTTGCCATCATCATTTTAAAAACATTTTCTTTCGACTTGAGCCCTTGGTATCAGCCCCCCCCCCCTTATTTATTTTAAAAAGAAGCTGCTTTCAGTAACCTGGCCCTTGGCTGCGTTGAGTTCTCATGAGCCATGTGGGAGAAAGGTTGGGGCTGGCTCCCAGCATCCTCTGCTTCGCACGCAGTAAGGCTCTGGGTGTGCGGTGAGGCACAATATCTCGAGGAAGAAGTGCCCAGACCCGTCCAAGGAAAGGGTCCCGGCATTGAGGCGCAGGGCAGCTGAGCAGCAACCCACCCCCCACCCCCTGCGCTGCCTAGGCAGATGACGGGATTTCACCTGTGCTTCTGTCCCCCTCGTGCAGACGACAACAGCAACCAGAGCTCCATAGCCGACGCATCCCCCATCAAACAGGAGAACAGCAGCAACTCCAGCCCTGCCCCGGAGCCTAACCCCGCCGTGCCCGGCGACGGCGCCGAAGCCAAGGCAGACGAGGCCCCGGCTGATGGAAAGGAGCACCCCGGGGCTGAAGGTACATGCCCTCCAGGCCAGGCTTCCCCCATGTTCCTGCCACCCGGAGCCTCTGCCAGGCCCTTCCACCTGGGCGCATGGAGGCCAAGGGCGGCAGGAGGAGACAGATAACTTGGGGAGCACATGTCCTGGTGGAGGATGTTGAAGGGTCTGCACTTCCGGGCCTGGAGGGTTACTGACTGGGGAGAGAGAGCCCTGCCCTGGGGTGCTGTGGCTGCAGGGCAGGTGATGTTGGATGAAAGGAAGCTGAAGTTGGATGGGGGAGGGAGCGAGCCACTGGGATCTCTGGGAGAAGAGCATTGTGGGACAGTGAGCAGACTCTGGGGCAGGATGGGTCAGCGTGGGCGGAGAGGGTGGGAGAAGGGTTTGACGAGGTCCAAGAGGAGACGAGGCCTGCAGTGTGGTGGCAGAAGGAGGGTCTGTGTGTGTGCTGGCTGCTATCCCGGGTTCAGTCAAACGTAGGGTCTAGAGTCCAGGGGGGCACACGCTGTCTCTCAGGTCAGAGAGAGGCAGCCAGCCCAAACGGGGGTCCTGGTACTCAGAGAGGTCGCATGCACTGCAGAGTCTCTGCCTCCATCCCACCCCTTCCCCCACGTCCCCAGCCTCCCTTGCTGAGGGTCCTTCCCTTGTGGCCAGCCTCCGGATCACCTCTGCGTCCTTGCGCAGGCATGGGTGGGTCCAGGGCCAGTTCAGGAAGCAGACGGCTGGAGCGCCTGCCCAGTGTGTGCCCCTCCCTGGGAGCTGTCGGGAGAGTGACCGTCCCCTTGTGCTGTCTCCGCTGTTGGTGGCCTGGGCTGCGTTGGTGTTCGTTGAGGAGCTGCCCGGCCCTGTGTACTGTGGGATGTGGAACAACACCCCTTACACACACACACACACACACACACACACACACACACACACACACACACACACACACACACACACACACACACACACACACACACACACACACACACACACACCACACCACCCCCACCCCCAGCTATAACCATACAAGGCATTACAGATTATAGTTTCCGGACATTGCCATGTGCCCCTGGTGAGAAACCACGCCTAGTGGCCATAGCACACAGCCTTTCCATCGTGGGTACCTCCTGGTCACCCCGCTCCCCGGCCTTCCACCTATGAGGTGGCGGCGGCTTTGGACAGGCAGGAGCGCATACCTGCCCTCACTCCCGGGGACCTGGGCAGGCAGCCCACCTTGCTTCATTCCCAGCTGGCCTCCTTGGTTGGGTGGTTGCTGAAGATGAAGCAGAGAAGGAAGGGGTTCCGGGGGCGTGGCCAGCTACACTTCCATCCACACTGGACTCCCCTCCCATGCGAAGGAACAGGAAAGTCAGCCGCAGGAGTTAAGGAAGCTGGGTGAATGGACGGTGACCACCACAATCAGCCCCGAGATCCAGGTGGCAGCCCTCCCTTGCGGTTTCTACAGGGAGCTGGGCTGCAGGGGAGTCTCAGGCAGGGCTGCGGAAGGGAATGAGGGCAGGCCAACCCGGCCTTGAACTTGTTTACTGCAGCGTCGGTTCAGGGAGTGACGTCATGTACGAGTGCCTGGGACTAAATTTAGGCCCCGGAAAGTTGTTTTTCCTGGGTGACATCCAGCTGGCGGCAGGGGCAGGCCAGGCCACTCCCCGGCGAGTTGGCGACCCGTGGGCACGGCAGGTGAGGGTCTGTGTACCTCTCGGAGCCACCTTTAGACCTCCATTTGGGGCTCCTAACGCTCTCTGTTCTCAGAGTCCCCTTTTGCAGGGCAGAAAAGGAGCTAGGGGGTCTTAAGGTGCTAAGCCACAGGTGTGACACACCTGCTGCCAGGTTTCTGCTAAAGCAAAAAGTAGGGTATACAGTTGACTGACATTCAGCGTGGGATTTAAAGGCACAACAAAAACGTCAAAGAAATGCCCACTGTGGAGCAATGTGCTAGAGACACCCCCGACTCCCTTTCAGAGGATCCCCGGTGGCACAGTGGTTAAGCGCTTGGAGAAGTCACCCGCCTGTCCTCTGGAGAAAGACCAGACCAGAAATCAAAGGAAAGACAAGCTCCCTCCCTGCCTTAGCGACCCTATAGGGCAGGGTAGAACTGCCCCTGGGTTTCTGACTGCAAGTCTTTACAAGAGTGGAAAGCCTCATCTTTCTCCCACAGAGTGGCCAGTGGATTCGAACTACAGGCTTTGCAGGTTGTACCCTAGCACGATGGGGCAGCCTGCTTTTATAAAGATGACAGCCTGGGTGATCCTATGAGGCAGTTGGACTCTGTCCTGCAGGGTCGCTGAGTCAGAATCGACTCCACCGCAGTGGGTGACTCCCCACCCCGGGGGAAGAAGGGGGTGTTTGCCAACAGGTGTGTTTCATGCCGTTTCATTTATACGACGACAGCCTTTCTGCGACATGGGATTGTCAGCGTTGTGTTTTCTGTCATTGTTTTTAATGGAGGTGAAACTGACATAAGCTAAAGGAACCGTTCAGTGGCCTTGCCCCCATTCACATCCACAGTGCTGTGCAGCCGTCAGGAGCTCCCCGAGACGGTTCCCCACCCCTAATGGAACCCCGGCTCAGCCCGGTTTTTACTGGAGTCAGGGCAGGGAGCATCTGAGACCAAGGAATTGAAGGATGAAGGTGGGGTCCCAGCCCGGGCGTGTCTCCTCCACACCCTGGAAGACCTGGGGCCAGCATCCCCTTGATGCAGGACGAGATGGCCCGACCCCCCCAGCTGGAGCCCTGCCCGCACCAGAATGGGCTGGTGGGGGTTCTCCAGCATGGACCATGTGGGGTCAGTGGGTGCAGCGTTGAGAATTGACAGGGAGCCTGTACAAAGCAGTCGATGTGCTGGGAGAGCCACCTCTTCAGAAGGGGCTCTTGCCCCACGATATGTCCTCCCCCAGCCTTTTCCCGTCTCCCCTCCGACTTGGGGGAGCTGCTCATTCTCCCTCCTATTAGACCAGCTTCCAAGGACTCAGCTCCAGCTCCCTTTGATCTCCAGTGTGTTGGGAGGAACTACACCGTCGGCTTCTCAAGACAGAGCCGGGTTTTCAGAAGTAGATTGCAGGCCTGTCTCCCACGGCGACGTCAAGGGGGACTTGAGCGGCTTTTGCACCACCCAGGCTTGGAGGTTCGAGTCCCCCTCATGGGACCTTTGGAGAAACTCGGGCACAGGAACTGTGACTAGGTGACTGCACTAACGGCTTTGGCCTGGTAGGGCTGGTGCCGTTAAATGTTAGGCAGCCCTCTTGCCCGCTCTTGTCGTTAGATACTTTTTACAGATGAATCTTCTCCGGAATACTGTGATGTCCCCATGTGGGGAGAGAAGAGAACTCTGTGTATAGCAGAGGGGAAGATTTTGGGAACGTTCTGGAAAACGTCCCTGGGGTGGCATCTGTGGCAAGGGCAAGATGATGCATTGTTCCAACCCATAGCGCCGACCCCACGTGACAGAGTAGCCCTGGCCCCGTGGAGTTTTCTAGGCTGTTATCTCTGTGCAAGCACATTGCCAGGTCATTTCTCCCACCGAGTGGATTCAAACCGCACATGGAAGCCACCAGAGGGCCTGGTGGGCAAGTAGCACTGGAGGTTGATGGCCTTGGTTCCCTTTTGGGAAATTACCGGGTGTAGGTGAGAGATGACGGGGCACGGAGGCCGCTGTGTGGCTTGGCTGCTGAAACCGCCTTTACTCAGAAATAACAAGAGACACTAGAATGGCCAGGTTGGGTACAAGAAAGCAGAATAACAGATACCCGTGTACATGGGGATCGTAGAGCTCCTGGTCTCTTGCTGATGAGGGTACAGAAACAGCCGTGGCAAGCAGCGTGGCGGGTCTCCAAACGTTAAGAATGGGTCGAGGTTTCAAAAAGTTGTGGGACAAATGGGATTGAAAGGTAATGGGATTTTCCCATGAGCTTTCTGATGCCCCCTACCCAACGATCCCATTCCGAGATAAGACCCCAAAGAGTTGAGAGCCAGCGGCTGGGAGCCCAACATTCGCTGCAGCCAGCAGTTCACAGTAGCCAACAGGTAGCACAGATGCCCTGTCACCAGACGAATGGGCAACAGAGACCAACTCCATTCTACCCTGCCGCTGAGAAACAAGGGGGGCCTCATCGCTACGCACTCCCATGGGGATGGGGGGTGGCGACATCGCATGTGGAGTGAAACAAGTCCACCACAGAAGGACATATAGCGGATGACCTCACTTTTTATGTATAAAAAGACAAGGAAAAGCAAACTGGGTAGACACCATTGTTTATGAGTGGTTTCCAGGGGTGGAGGAAGGAGCCCTCCCTTTGTGACACGGTGTTTTAAGCACACCATTTCCATTGGACACTGATAACCACACCTGTCTTTACAAGGCTCCTCCAGGTTGCTTTGAACCGTTAACCTTCTGGTTGATAGTCGAGAGCTGAACTATTTGTGTCTCCTGGGGGAATTCTGTATGTAAGAGATTGTGGGACTGGCACATTTTTTGTTACAGGTGTAATCCCCCCCCCCCCAAACAATGAAACAGTTTAAAAATAAGAAGCTTTACCCGTTGCAGTCCTGAGAGACGGCTGCCCCCCAGGCCCCCCTTCCCTCGTGTCGGGAGACAGCACCCGTCCTCTTCCCTCTCCCTCAGATGCTTCTGACGAGCAGAACTCGCAGTCTTCCATGGACAACTCCACGAGCAGTTCAGAGAAAGTGGAAAGGCAGCCATCTGGAGAGGCGGCTCTCGCCACAGACGCCTCAACAATCTCTCAGGTACGCCGGCAAGCCCCCTGCCACGAGCCTGTTGGGGTGCTGGGGGACGTCTGTGCCGCGGCGATGACGAGGAACACTCGGTGTAGGGAGAGGATCCGTTCCTACCCTGGTCTCAGCTTTGCCGTTTTGTTTCCTCGGGACCCAGAAGGGTCTCCTGGTCAGAGACCCTAAGTGGCTCCCTCAGTTCTGGGAAGACAATCCTTCAGTGGTCAAATTTCCGGCTCATCCGTTAGAATTGTATGACCGGCCATGTTCCCCCTGCTCGAAGCCCCTTCTGGGTCATAATGTTGGGTCAGGTGAGGTCTGAGCCCCATCTGGGCAGGAGCCGGGGTCATCCAAAAGTTAGGGGCACACCTGCCAAGTTTGGACCTGGGTTCAGATCAGAGCCCTTTCTAGGCAGAGGCCTGGAGACCGATGCAACTGGAAGAACCCAAAGGAAGACGGGCGGGGTAGGCAAAGGCTAGATGAAGATCACTCAGGGTAAGGCGATCGGGTCCTCTTCCGCGTCCGTGGGAAAGTGCGGTTGGGTGCCATCCGCTCAGTTCCAACTCATAGCGACCTCCTGTGGCAAAGAACCCTCCCAGAGGGTTCCCTCTGCTGTAACCATCACAGGGTAGCCACCGCCACATGTTGCCCTCTGGGAGCCGCTGGGTGGGTTTGAACCACCAACCTTTGGGTTAGCACGTGTGTGCGTAACGATTGGTGCCACCAGGGCTGGAAGGTAGGAAAGTACAAGGGAGCTTCCTGCTTTCTGCATGATTTGCACTAAGTTCGCTTCGGCCATGCTGGATGGTTGCCAAAGCGGCTGAGAGGCAGCAGAGAAACGAGGTGGCTTTGAACAGAGGCGCAGGCAGAACCACAAGCCTCTTCAGAGGGAGTGGATGGGACGAGCCAGGAGGTCCGACGTGGGGGGTGGGGTGAGAAGAGAAGGACAGGGTGTTCTGCACCTGTCTCCCAGACAGGTGGTGCTGCTGCCCACAGCCGTGGGAAAGACTAGGGAGGAATGTCACATCCGGAAGGAGGTGTTGGGTGGCAGGGTCAGGTCTGCGAGGAGAGAGATAGCCACTTAGGATGTGGCCGAGGGAGTACTTAACGCTTTTTGAGGTGGGAGAATTTGGTGGCGACTTTTACTCTGAAAAACTTGCATACCAGCAGTGGTTGTGTATTCAGCTGCTGAGACAGACGGTGGCTGTCCAGAAAAAGCACTGCTGGAGCACCCACTGTGTAAGAAGTCTGCTTGCATAGAGGTTTTAGCCGAGGAAACCCGGCGGTAGTTCCACTCCGTCTGTAGGGTCCCTGTGAGTCAGAATAGACTCAGCCACAGGGGAGAACTCAGGTACATACACTTGGCCCTTCAGCACGTGCCAAGGCCCCACCCAGGGCTGGGCGCTGGGGCTGGACCCTGGGTCAAGGAGGTGACTCCAGAACCGGGACGGGAGCAGTGTTCAAAATTGTTTTCTAAAGAGTCGCCTTCCAGTGAACGTCAACCCTTGGCAACCCAGGGATGTCAGAGTGGAACTGTCCTCCGTAGGGCTGTCAGTGGCGGGTATTTGGGAAGTGAACGGCCAGGCCTTTCCTACGAGGCGCCTTTGGGTGTAGCCTCTTTACCTCGAAGCCCAGCGCGCTCGCCATTTGCTCCTTATCAAGGCTGTGTGCACAAATGACGATTCCATGACCAATCACAAATTGGAAGTCAGATCGCGAGGACACCACAGTCAGCTGGGAGGGGATGCATGCATGCACACACGCACGCACGTACGCACGCACGTACGCACGCACATACGCAAGCACGCGCATGCGCGCGCACAGACATGCACACAGAGCTTTCCAGGCGGCCGGAGGAGTTTGGGCGGAAGCTGCCGGAAGTCCTGGGAGACCCGGAAGTGCTTGCGGACTGCCTGTTCCAAACGCTTGGTTTGAGCCACTATGATGCCCAGGCCTCCTGTCAGGCCGGGAGCGGTTTCTAAAGCCAGTTTTCCCTTTCTTCTTCCCCCCCGAAGGATTTGGAAGGAGCTCCACCCTCAAAAAAGATGAAGCTGGAGGCGTTGCAACAAAACGCCGAGGAGATGTAGACACCCGCCGGGACGCTCGGACCCACGCTCGCGGGGGGGCCACATCGGCAGGCTTCATTCGAGAACACCGCCCCCGCCGGGGCGCTTCCGCCGGGGTGCGAACCGAACTGCTAAACCTTCAAGTTTACCGAGTTGCAAATCCCAGAAGCCCTCGAACGGCGCCGCTTCCCAGACACTGAGGAACCCTCTGCTGTGAAGGAAAACACTCGAACTATGACGTTGCTGTCCTGGGGCAGGGGGAGCCCACCGCTCAGGAGAGTCCACCCGCCCACCTGTCTGCACACTGTCTCCGAAGCCAAGATCCCATTTATGTTGCTGCTGTGTCCTTGCCCCGCCCCCGCCCCGCCCTCTCTATTTAACGACATAAGCTATTTGGTGGAGGTGGCGCCCATCAGGAACCCACTTCTCATTGGGGCTTTTTCGCTCTCCAGCCAGTTCCGTCTGCTTTCTTTTTTTGTGCCTTGTGCCCTTGAGGTGACCTCTGGCCTGTTCTGATTGTTTTTGCATCTCCTTCTGCAAGGTGCCCCCCTGGTTCCTCTGCAGCGGCAGCAGTGGCGGTAATCCCCCTCCTTAAGCCCCTCACCGGCCCCACCCCTGCCCGACTTCCGAAGCGGGCAGGGAGGATGCTGGCAAGGAGCAGGAAGGCCCCGTTGGGCCCGCTTGTTTGCGGGTGCCAAGCCTTTGCTGAGCTTCAAGCTCTGGTTGGGCCAGCAGCAGCCTTCATGATCCTCGAAGGCACAGGTGTCAGGGTGCACTCGCCAAGGGCTGGCCGCCTCGGTGCAAGCTGGGTACCCCAGAGCTGCTCTCCCCTGCTGGGGGCGGCCAAGGCTTGGATCTCCAGACCGATGGACAGATAACCTAGACTTTACTGGCACTTGCACCCCACGACCCCAACCCCACCATCACTGCTTACTCCCAGACCTCTGAAGAGGAACTGCCTTTATTGACTGGCTGCAAAAGCGTCTCCTTCCAGTGACCCCCTAGCTGGGGACAGAGTGCGGGCCCCGCTGGTGCTGAACTTTCTCCTAGGACGTTGCTTGGGTTTCAAATCCAAAGTAACCCACTGCCTCCCCTCGCCAGGCCCTCCCCACGACCAGTACCAGCCGGCTTCCACGTCACGTTCTCAACATTCAGAGCGAACAAAGGGGATGCCCCTGGCACTTAGGTCACAACGGGGGAGGGAGAGCGGGCCTCGGTGGACAGGCCTTGAAGGCCACAACAGGGCACCGAGCAATCGGAAAGATTTGCACTCCCCCACCCCTCTCCTCCCCGCCCCCACCTCCATCCCCACCTGCCTGGGGATAGCTTCCTTTCACAAGAACGGCTGCCCCTTGAAGGAACCTTGGTTCTGAGGCCAGGTTTGCTCTTAACTAATTGCCGGACTCCTCAGACCTTAAACCTTTCCCTAAGCATTCTGTACTGCACTGGAGTTCTAACTCCCTTTGAGTTGTGTGTTATTGGGTGGGTGGGAGGGCATGGGTTTTGTTGGTTTTTTGGGGGGTGGGGGGGTTGTTTTGTTCTGTTTGGCTAATTGGTGCATTATTCAGGTACACCTTTGCCGTGTGGATCTTTTCTCCTGATCACCACTAGGAAGTGTCTGCCAGAATCCGTTTTCTAACAGTTTCTGAGGGTGAGGCTCTTATTTATTAAAAAAAAATTTTTTTTTTGTTCTGTTTCAAGGGAGCCAATCTATTTCCTGCACTTCAAGAAGAATCAAAATGTTCCTGAATTTCAAATACCTCATGCAAAATATCTCCTGAAATAAGAAAAGGAAAAAGAAAAAAAACTTTGAAAATCTTAGATGTTGAAGTTCATAATGCCGGAATAGTTCTTTCTTAAATCGAAAGGAAAGGGAAAAAAAAGTCCTTGTACTTCGTGGCTCTTCCCCTTTAGGTGGTCAGCTCTTTTGAGAACTGTGTTCTGCATCTTGGACAAAAAAGGGGCCCAGACAACATGTCTCATGGTGGCTTTACCTCTAGATCTTGTATAATTAGAGTAACTCTTTTTCTTTGCAGCAAACTACCACCACCCCCCCACCCCCACCCCCGAAAGAGGCCCTGGAGCTTGATGTGCTTTTCTTTGTGGGAAACCAGAGGTGGCAACCTTGTGCCAATGGAGACTCAAAGTTATCCCCAGGAACAGAATGTCGGCAAGGTTGGCCGGCCCCTGGCCCCTGGGTGCAGATGGGCCAGGGAGTGGACAAAGCCACTGAATGCCGCGCCAAGGCTGTCCTTTGTTTTTCTCTGAAGTGCCTGAAGGTAGGAATGGGCTTGTGGTCAGGGCCCCCGGGACCCCACCACAGCCACGCCAGCAGAGTGCCAGCCACCTACACGTGCTGCTGGCCAAGAAGGCCTTCCACGAGGAATGACCAGTGATCAGACTGCAAAAATCCACGCATACTTCCGTCCTGCTCCACTCTGTGCCCTCGGCCCGCCTCCCCGCTACAGAATCAAAAACGCTCTCACCGGCCAAACCTGGGGCAGGGAGCATGCAGCCCACACCTGCCTTCCTCCCTCGGAAACCAGGCCCCATGGCCGCCAAGGGCTCCCGGGGCTAACCCCTTCCCTGCCGAAGTCGGGCAAGCTGCGGCTACACATTCCACAAAGTGCTGGCACTTAACATCCACAAACCAGAAGGCATCGGACGGACTCCTAGCGGGTGGTGACACCTCCCACGATCACACGGTGGAATGGTTTGGAATGTTCGTTATCGCTAAGGACCTGGTAGAGGTATAGACCTTCCCCCACCCCCCCACAGTTAACAGAATTTTTCCCCCTCTTAACAATTTTTGTTTTTTCTTTTTGGTGTGTTGTACAGCAGTATCATTTTTCACTTATTTATTCCATCAGTAGATATGGTTTGTACAATGTACAATGGTTCCATTTCGGAAAAATAAAACTTAAAAAACTCAATAAACATGACCTTGCAGCATAGAATGATGAGGTGGTAAACTCAGAGGCAGGGTGGGGCCTCCCGGACCTAGCTGTGCAGCACAGGTGAGGACCTTCAGTGGCCTCATAGGTTAGCCGTTGGGCTGCTCACGACAAGGTCGGCTGATCCCCAGCCTCAGAAACCCCCGAGGGCAGCTCTCCTCTGCTCTTGTAGGTCTCTGTGAGTCGGTGTCAACTGTGCATGTGGCACAGTCGTGAAGTAATTGGCTGCTAATCAACAGGTCGGCAGTTCGAATCCAGCCACTTTGCAGGAGAAAAGTGAGGCCCCATAGAGATTCACGGCCTTGGAAACGGGGGCAGCTCTCAGAGTCCAAAGGTATCTGAGTGTAGTTGTTTGTGTGTGTGACTCTGACTATGCTGGAGGAATTTCCTGATGTCACCTACTGTGTGTGTCCATGGTCTCCAGGAGCGTGTCAGCTCCCAGCACACAGCCAGCAGTTGCCATCACAGTACAGTAACCGCCAGTATTCAGCACCAACGCTGTCGGGCAGACCCACTCCTCTCGGAGGTGTTTATTAGTGCTCACCTTGCACAGTTTGAGGGGTTTCAAACACTCGACATTTAACTGAGAGGTTGGCCTTTTGAACATACTCAAGAGGCACTTGGAAAGAAAGGGTTAGCAATCCATCTGCTTCTGAGAGATCACAGCCTTGGAAGTTCGACTCTGCACTACGGGGGGCTCCCTGGTGCTTTGTCCCCATACAGAAGTGAGGCACTGGAGAGTGAGCCTTGTCTAGGTCACATAGCCACCAGTGCACACTGGACTCCGAGGTTTGGGTTCCTGACCAGGGACAGCCAGGACTGCCTGGTGACCTTGTCCTGACTTGTTTCATTGTATGTTCAGGCCTGAATCAGGACTTTCCTGGCCTCCCACCTCTCCACTCCTCCAGCAAGACACTGTCCGCTCACTGCCCTCTGAGGTTTCTTTCTCTTTGCCAGGCTCTCTCTCCTCCACTTGCACCCGGGCCCGGTGAGCCAGCCGCCTACCACACTGGCGGGGCGGCCCTGGCTTCCTGGTGACGACAGACCCAGAGACAAATGAGCTCCCTGCTTTGTTTTGTCTGACTCTCCACCCCACCCTCTTCCTTTTTAACACGTTCCAGCGTTTTTTACCAGAATTGGTCACTCGGCTAAGTAAACTCATAAGGAAAGTCCATCGATACAACACACAGCTCTTCAGAGGCCTTGTTTACTTAACTGGGAAGCAAAACAAAGCCTCCTAGTCAGCTGGCCTGCTTTCTCTCTGCCTCTGCCCCAGGGTGTCAGTCTGTTTGCTCCCTCCCTCTCCTGTTAGCCCAGCCCTGCCTCCCTACCCCTCTCTTCTCTGGTTCTACCTCTCAGGATCAGTAGATCTGACAATTTAGGCTGGTGGTAGTGGTCTGCTGCCAATAAAACCCTGGAGGGGAGAGTAGGGCTGCCCTGTAGGACTTCCCAGGCTGCAGTCTTATGTGAACACATCACTGGGTCTTTCTCCCACACACTGCATGGGTTCAAATCACCCGGGCTCCTCCAGCTAGGCTCAGGCGTGTTTTGAGTACCATCTGTGTGCTGGGCGACCATGCCTCTCGCTTGATCCCGGAGCTGGTGCCTGAGAAGGGTACCCGCTACCGTTTGGAGTGGTAGGGGAGCAAGATTGGGAGGCTTCCAGGATGGTAGCGAAACCCGGCACCAACATGCTTGTTTTTCCTCCTTGACAAGGGCCTTGCTGGCCTAGGAATGGTGTTTTCAGAAGTTGTATCAGTGCTGGTGACCAATGTAGGAACTGACAGAGGTCAAGGAAGCCAGTTGTCAAGAGGCCCACATGCCCCTTCCCCCCAACCCAGGTGACATCAAGGTGATCTTAGGGAGGTAGGCTGAGGATCGGCAGAGAATGCTTACGTCCAGCTCTGAGGCCCAGGGGCAGGGCTTAGGAGGGATTGCAGACCCCATAAGTCAAGTTTAACTTCCCTCCCTGGCAGGCTTGGGTGTTCAAGGGCTATTTTCCACCAGACCCTTGTCAGTGACAAAAACCATGTTTGCGTTGCAGCTTCTTCCACTAGAGGTCTCTCCTCTCTCAACCTCAGGCCTTAAATGGAACTGGTACCCCGCCTAGGCTAAGTAGTCATGTGACCTGGGCTTGCCCAATCAGTGCGGGCCCTCCTCCTGGCCACGGCAATTGGTTCAGCGAAGGGCACATGGTCCAAAGTGGCCCAATGAAAGCCAGCCCTGAGATTGCCGCGGGGACTGCTGGGGAAGCGATGCTCTCTGGGGAAACAGCTCACTGCCTGAGATTGAAACCGATCCTGGAGGTCCTTGAAAGATGGTCAGCGTGGCGCTCCCGAGGACGACGTTTGAGGGCTTGGACTTGGCCCTCCCTGAAGCCAGTCCCCTCCCCCGATAGTTTTCTAAAACTGTGAGGGAATTAATTGAGAAGAGCATGAACCGGTTCTGGACCTCCGAGCCAGCTTTGCCTGTGACCCTGAGCAGCCAGGGCTCTAGGAAGGCAAGTACCTTAGCCTCTCTGGGAGGAGTTTCCTCCTGTGCAGAAAGGAGAGTGGTAATGCCCGCTACATTGCCGCGAGAATTACACCCATCCATTTCACACAGGGTGCTCGGGTCGGGTCCTGGCATATAGTAAATCCAACCAGTGTTAGCTGGTATCATTTATCGTGATGGTGATAGTGCCTGTTTTCAAACAGGTCTGTTGTTAGTTGCCCTCAGGCCGGCCTCTGACTTGAGGCAGCCCCATAGGTGTCACAGCAGACGGTGCCCCAGGGTTTTCAGTGGCCTGTTCTTCATATGGAGACCGCCAGGCCTTTCTTCTGAGGCGCCTCAAACCTTCAACCTTCCCAACACCAGCTGAGCATGTGCAGCGTTTGCACCAAGCATGTCTAGACTCCTGGAAGTCGGCTCCAAGGGGCTGAAAGAGGCAAGAATGGCCCATCACTAGCTGCCTGGGACTTGCCCTCTGCAGGCCTTGGACCCAGACGATTGACACTGGGTTCTCTCCGCCCCTGCCCCGGGGGCCAGCCCCTGAGGCAAGCAGTGCAGGCTGCCTAGAAGCCCTCGGGGAAGAAAGCAGAAGGGCTGATAGCGCATCTGAGGGAACAGCTGGAGCAGAGACCAGGGGTTTATCAGCACATCCTCACCGGATGGCGGCACTACCTGCTCAGAAAAGCAGGTCCAGGCAGGAGTTTTGAGGCCCAGCGTCTCAGAGGGCCAGCCCAATGTAGAGCAGCGATCAGCCACAGGTGAAAAGCAACACCTGGGAAGCAATGCAGCCAGGGTCCTGCCAGCCCGTCTTCCACTAGACCAGGACTTAGGAGATGTGCCCCTCCACGGGTTCTGCAAATAAAGTTTTATTGGAACACAGCCATGCCTATGCCTTTATTGCCCAAGGCTACTTTCGCACTACAACCAAGTTGAAGAGGTGCAACAGAGGCTGAGTAGCCTCCAAACTCACTGCTACTGAGTTGATTCCAACTTAGAGCCATCCAGTAGGACAGGGTAGAACTGCCCCCA